TGCCTTCCACAGCCCCCTTGCTGCTGTGTTCAATTTCTCAAATCTGTTTTATTGAGTTGCGAAATTAGGTTTCGGATTTTGTTCAGTTAATGTCGATTTCTTGTTGATGAATTGATTATGAGCTGTTCTGCCCTTGTCTCCTCCTATGACTCAATTCCCACTCACGAATACAAATGTAAACAAATTCCAAAACCCTAATTTCTCACTCACAATCAAAGTCCTTACTTACGAATATACATATATTCATTGATCACTTCAAGGTTTTGGATCAAAAGGATGAGTATTTGGATCAGAAACTGAATGAATCTCGTCTGATTCTCGATTTTGTTGATGGAYTTGAGTGGAGGTTTGGGGAGAAGATGGTGCATTACCGGACCGATAACTTTGGGCTGCAAGCGCAGTGGTTGGAAGCATGGTGGCCTGCTTCCAATGATGAGTTTGCATTTGAAAGTAGGACCTTACCAAGTTGCATTTGTGGTTGAAGATGATATTGAAAAATTATGTTTGTTTGCACTAATATAAAATCTTGTTTTGAACTAATAATGTTACATTTGTTTGGATTAATATGAAATATGTAGTTATATTTGCAAAATAATTGTTCTATTCAGATTCTGCCAAACATCTCTATTTCATTCAGTACTAAATCATTCAGAGGGTTAAAATGATAATTTGTTGTCATTCAGAGAACAGTTACTAAACAACATTATTTCATTCAACACTTAACCATTCTGGTCCTCTTAACCATTCTGACCACTTAACCATTCTGCACCAAACCATTCAGCAACCGCCAAACAGCCCCTAAGAACAATTATTTAACTGTATCTTAACCTAGATTTAGAAAATGAAAATGAAAAGAAGAAGAAGAGATCTTAAAATCTACAGAGAATATGAGAGCAAGATTTGAGCTGAATATTGAATGAATGATCAAAAACTCTTCAAAAGGCCATTTATATATGTTTCAGCAAATGGCAATAATGACCCTTGGATATGTTGATAATATGCTCCGTTAACCCTGAACCTTTCCAAGATGTGAGGCGCAGTCCTCCAACAATTCTGAACAACAAAAGCTTTATAAAATCTACACTTTATACCCTAGCCAGTTAATAACCTGACAAAAATAAGTACAAGTGTTAAAAGACTTAGTTAAGACAGTCAAGATTGGAAGCATATGATACATTTTAACAGTGCATATATAAAGGTCGAACGGAAATTAATTGCTTGATACATCTTCTGAATAACAAAATAAAATAAAATTATATGAGTTATTTAAAACAACATAAATCACATCAATTCTACAAGTTAATTACGCAATACTTAATAATTTCAAATTTAAAGTATTAAACATCATTGTTAACGATGTCTTCCCTAATCTAAGTGGTTTCCCTCCTATTATTATTTTCAACAATGATGACGTAATAAAATAAAATGTCGATTGCCAAAGAGACACTCAAATCCCTTGTTGATTGGAACATCATGTATAAACCATAACCGCTTTCCAAGAGGTGGAGGTGAACAGAGGCGGATGGCTATAGGAGCCTTGGCCCCTGGGCTTTTTTTATAGATAGAGTGAATCATCTCTAATCCATGAAGGTTTTAAGTATTAAAATTCTTTTGTGCCTCTTCACTATTGTTGATCCAGTCCATTTGTGTTCCATCTTTGGAGGTGAAGGTGGAGGTTAAGACGATGAAAATGGATGAATATTTATAATGTAGAATCGATTTATCAACTTGTATTCTAATAAATGATTTTAATTGATTTTTGTTTCTTTCTTTTTTATACAATGGCTTGGGACACTTAATTTGATTCTGATTTATATTGGGTAAAGTTTATCGAGTAACGAATTCCTCCTCCCTCTTTACTTTATTAGTTTTCCTTTATGATATTTAAGTATTATCGATCATATATTTAACAACCGATGATGTTTTCAATTGAACTTGTGAACTTGATCTAAATTTAAATTAGTAAACTGATTTATACAGTTAACAAGAGATCGATGATTTTCCACTGAACTTGCTAACCTAATCTAAATTAGAACACTGATTCTAAGTTTATTTCTCTGATTGACTTTATCTTGTATTGATCTTCTTTTATATTTATCATACTACTATTTGACTTTATCTTGTATTGATCTTCTTTTTGGTTAGATAACAAACCAATATGTTTTGGTGACGATCTTGACCTCACTTCAACTAGTCTTCAATTTTCTTGAAGGTTTTTCGTTCTTAGATCAATACAGATAGTCATAAGACTTTTACAAGTAATTTTCTTATCTTTTTTTATTCCAAAATATAAATTATAATTGGATTCCAGCTATAGAATATTTATGAAGTAGATTCATCGGATTTTAAAATAATTTAGAATAAAGTGTGGGTTCTTGAAACTCAAGATGGAATGACCTTAAAGGATAAATCAATCGAATTCTCCAAATATGGAGAATAATCAAACCAAAGATTTGATTTTCACAATCTTATATAAGTTATGGACCTGATGGTTGATCAACATTCGAAGCCTTAAGTTTTAGGTAGCATTTGGTTTGCAGATTCCAAAGGAATATAATGGAATTGGAATGTTGAATTTTATTGACCAAATTCAATTCCCTTGTTTGGTTCATTCTTTTTCACGGAAGGAATCTTCAAAATACTGCAAATTCCACAAATAAAGGAATTTAACATTTCTTAGCAACTATATGGTATTTTGATGAAATGAAATTCTTTATTTTTCATAATACCAAATATGCCCTTAACCCAATATACTCTAATCTCATAAAACCCAATATGAATACTGTCGACCATCGTGGATCTGAATCACCGCCGACCACCACCATCTGAACCACCGTCGACTATCACCATCTAAACCACTACAGACCACCACTGGTCTGAACCACCGTCGACCACCACCGATTTGAACCACCACTGTTCTGAACCACTGCCAACCACTACCAATATGAACCACTGCCGTCCACCACCGATCTGAACCACCACAGATCTTATCCACCATCGATCTGAACCACCGCCGATCACCGCCATTTGAACCACCATCAATCTGAACCACCGCCAATTACTGCCGATCTGAATCACCGTCGACAACAGCTGATCTAAACCACCGTCGACCATCACCAATCTGAACAACCACCGATCAGATCCATCGCCGATCTGAACCACCCCCGATCTGAACCACTGCGAACCACCGGGACTACCATCGATCTAAATCACATCCGACCACCACCGATCTAAATCACCGCCAGACATCGCCGACCACCAACGATTTGAATAACCACCAATTTGAACCACCGTCGCTGCCACCGATCTGGACCACCGTCCATCTGAACCACCGCGGACCACCATGGATCTGAACCACGACTGACCACCACCATCTGAACCACCACGGACCACCATGGATCTGAACCACTACTGACCACCGCCATCTGAACCACTACAGACCACCACCGATCTGAACCACCGCCGACCACCATTGATTTAGTAACGTTCTTTCGCTTTTGGTTATATTTCGGTTGTGTATTTTATATTGTTTTACGAATTAAATAATTATTTTATTAAAATATTTTTAGTTTTAAAAAAATTAAAATTTTCAAAAAAAAGGGCCTCTTGGTCATTTACCAATATTTCATTCTAATTCCAAAGCTACATCCTGTGAACCAAACAGACATATTTCAATTCTTTAACAGGTGGTCAAACCTGACAACATTCCATTACAATTCCTTCAAAGTCAAATTCCTTAAACAGATTTCATTCCATCTAAAAACATTTTTCGAACAAAACATCACCTTAATAAGTTACTAAGGTTCGGATGTCAATTCTTTTGAGTTATATATGGTGGGTGTTGTTCATCGGATATACTCATTACAAGACAAGTTTTAAGATTTTCTTCAAAGTGTTTTATCGGATGGTAAATGTATTATTTACAAATCCGATGATTAAGACCAACAACGTGAATGTGTTTTTCTTTTACTTTTTTTATATATAATCTATGGCTTGTTAAATCAAATATTCACGATTCTAACACTGAAGGGGGAATTACCACAAGTTGAAGGTGAGAAAGATTTTGAATTCAATTTCGATGGCGAAAATAAATGATGAAGAATTACATGGAAGGATAATTTCTTTATAAGACATCTAATCTAATCTAACTAGTTTTTAATAAATAATTATTAGAATTTTAGATTAGAGATATATGAATTATGAAACCATTAGTAAAACATTCTTTTTATTATGTTATCTTGATATCGTTTTTGTAAATTTTGTATATTTGATATTAAACTATCAGTGTATGGTTCTTCTTTTGTTTATAGTTTTATCTGAATTTAATTTGTTTATCATTATTGTTCAATAGATTGATTGACATAGACATCTATATATATATATATATACTATATATATTGATTTGTCGCCTAAGTCACATCCTAAAGAGCATCACGGTTTTGTCTTAACTCGTAAGACTTGAGGCTTGACCTTGCCGCCACACCATATTTCACGCAACTTAGAACCTTACACAAAACTCATCAAGCATAATAAGTCCTCAAGAGGGTGTTTATAACATCTTAGGGGAATCCCACTCTGTTGATTACAAGGAGGATTCTTGGAAGGCATGATGATGATGTTAGAAATTTAAGTGAGGGAGTTTGTAACACGTACAAATGCATAAAGAAGTAGATTTTGTAAGCTTCCTATAAGTTCAAATTTATGGGTTACCAATAATTTTCACCAAGTTTTTAACTGATTTGGAGACTATTGGGTCGACCAACTACTTTAGGCTATGGGTCGTTACACATTTACGGATTTGGGTCGGACCTAACATATTCTTTTTTTTTTTTACCAACATGCCTAATATAGCAAACACAAGCCATTTTATGTAGGTTTGATAACTTGTTCTCACCCGTCCTTTAAACGGGCCTGACTTGCAAACAGATAAATGTGACTAAAAATCGTTTAGATTTTTTAGAAAATAAAAATTACATAAAATCACATATTATGTAAAAAATTGAATACATAATAATCTTTCCAACAAAATAAAAACCAAACAAGATCAATTGAGGTAATTATGTTTTTATCCTCACGTAGGTTTTTTTTTCACAGGATGTTTAAATCAGTGTGTAAACCTCGACTAATTTCTTTGAATCCTGAAGATACCAACCTAGAAAATCTTCAGTGGCTTTGGAGGGATTCGTACCAGTGACCTTTTGGGAAACGGCCCCAAAGGTTCAACCCTTATTACCGGTGAGCTACCCCTTAGCTTGAGCCGAACCAGATTAACCCCTAGCTTCCATGGTTCTTATAAAAGCCATAAACTCTCTTTCAAATGCCTCATTGCGCAAACCACCATTGTTACTGGTGCGACCCCCTTCACGCTCGTTAGTCGGGTCACCGATCACAAACCTACAAACAGGACATTGACCACGGCTCTTCACCCATGGTACAATGCAGTTGTCATGAAACATATGATGACATGGTGTCAGAGTCACCGTTTCCCTTGGCTCGAAGTCATCTAAGCAGACAGCACATCTCTTGCCATCTTCGTTGTTCCTGCTTTCTTGTGATTTGGCTCTAGATTTATAATCATCGTTATTATATTGGCTTAATCGTTGTACTCCAGGGTTGTAGACCTCTCTCCTAAGTTTCTCGACCCCATTATTATGGTCATTGCCCGTTGATATAGGATTAATTGCCCTAGGGGATTGGTGGGTGAATCTTGGCCTCGGGTGTACATCTCTTGGCATATTGGTGTCTCGGGGCAGGTTTTGCATCGGAGGTTGAGACATGGCCCTGAAATATCCCCAAAGAGTATTAGGAAACGAGGGGGTGAAACCTTTGTCGTCTTTCTTTTAGTGCACATCTAGTAATTCACTGAATAAATGAAAATTAACCAAACCAAATTGACCGGGTATGCATGCATATCCTCTAGCCAAAAGGGTAGAGATGTTTTCGTAAAGGCACCTGACTTGTGCAAAAGTGTGAACGAAAAGAATGAAAAACCGAGACTAGTAAATACTCCCTCCATCAAAAAATAATTTCCACATTCCTATTTTAGTTTGTCACAAAATAAGTGTCCTCTTTCCAATTCTATCCTTAATTATGAGGTGAAGAAATTCATTGTTCTCTCTATTATTAAGGTTAAAATTGTCATTTAATTGCTTAAAAACGCAATGATTACACATTTCTAATACCGTGTGCCATTTCATTGAGGACATTTATTTTGGGACGGATGTAATATGCAGCAAAAAATGAAAAAAAAGCACGTTGAAATATATAAAAAGTAAGGAAAATTGCACATCTCTCCATCTATTGTATGACTCTATAACCCTTCCATTCGTTCCTAAGAACTCGTATCGGAGGCCATTCCTGTATTATTCTTAGACAAATGCCAACCACTTAAGCAAGCATACTAGGGAAAAAATTTATAAATCGAAACATCACATACGATCTAGGACTTACCTAGTAAATGAAGGCATCATATACGCTCTGTCCTGAATGGACCCAAACGGACCCATTGGACTTCCGACAGCCTGCAAATTTTTTACAAGACACAATGAACTAAAACAATGAGTTTTCTTGTGTCACATGTTTCAAGATTTCCAAATTAACGTAATCAAAATTCAGAAGATTGAAAGCGATAACGACTACTTACAGGCATAGAGCGAGGAACAAGTGATATTGAAGAAACATGAATCCTATCGTAGGGGACATCATCATATACTTCATACGTATGCTGCTGCCAATAGCCCATGTTCAAGGTATTGTTGGTACGGCTGTTCATGTTAGAAGAACGCTGCTAGACAAAGATGGTATGCACAAATTACACCAGCATTTCACTTTTTTTTCAACGTACGAGGATTTTATAAGGAATTAAAGTTACTTCTACATTTGGAATTGATTCCTTCCGTTTTCTTAATTGTTTGAAGCCTGCTTTATTCTCTTTTCATGGTGTTGGATGTAGCTGTAAAAGCAACACTTATGGTAGGTTACAGTGAAGGTATCTTATTCTTGTCTTATTGCAAAAAACTAACGATTTATATACATCATACGTAACACAAGAATATTGACGCATAAAACAAACCAAAAACACCGTGTATGTCCCACTCAGAAGTAGGGTCGGAAGGTGAGATGTATGCAGGCCTGTCATCTACCCAAAAGTAGAGTAGAACGGCTGTTTCTATGAAGACAAATATTGACATATCATTATCATAATCTTTACTATATCGTAAAGAATTGGGCATAAACTCCTAAAAACAACTTATTGAGCTTTAAAATCTAAAATATTTAAATTATAATAATATTTTGAATTAAACAAATTATACCAAAAAATGAGAATTTTATAATCTTCAAATTAGCAAAGCATCTTCAACCACTTGTGATTTCTATTTTCATCTAACATAAATTTCATATTTTCTATCTTAACGTGAAGTTATACAAAATTTTCATTTTTGGTATACGACAAAATCTTAATCCCGCGCAAGTATGATATAAGAAGAAACATTTAATTGACTAAAAATATTATGTCGATATAAGAAGTCGCACCTCTTAACCGTTGATTCGACGGGCATCTAAAAATCAAGAAGCAAAAATATCAGCTTTCTTTTAAACAATGCACTACCATTTGATACCACTTTCTGGCCAGTTAAAGAAAACATGATATAACCAACAAAGTATATTATGGGCTGCAAACAGCATATTGTATATGAAATAGCTTCAACAACTAGAACATGATAACTTTGGTAGTAATCTAAAGGAAACATTTAATCAAAGATAAAGATCAGCCGTTACAGAGTTACTGGACTGACAGGTCCATCTTTCGAACAAAGAAGATGTCTGGAACCACAGCCGATAAATTGGTCCTTTCTGCTATCTTCCCTCCCTTGATCGGCAGCAAACTTCCAACATGATTGAACACATCAGACCAACAAGGAACCCCATGATTGCCCAGATTCTTGATGCTTTGCGAATCCGGATCATACAAAACCAGCTGATTGTTATCTTTCTCCAACAAAAACTCACCTTTCAATCCACACCCCAATGTCCTTCCTACTTCAGTTTGGAGTTCAAATGATCTATATTTGGTCCATGATGAAACCACCCCATATTCTTTCATCACCCATACTTCAAACCTCTTTCCAGATCCATTCCCAGATGAACCGATCACCGCTAGTGATTCCTTCATCCCTGCCACAGTCCAACTGGTTTTAGACTCACCATCACAGTCACTAAAATCAAAGCCTGGGGGCATGATGTAACTAAAAGCCTCCCTACAGATATCAAAACACACAATCAGCTTCTTTCCATGCATCTCCTCAAACCCTATAGCTGTCCAATGGAATTTCCCTTTCAGAAACACACTACAGGCCGCTTCAAAGATCAAGAACTGCACACGGGTCTTAATCTCCTTCCATGAATTAGTATTTAACGAGTATATCTCCACTTGGTTCAATGGGTAACCGTAATACACAATCCTCAAAACCTTGTAATCATTGGTAGCCTCATCATATCCATACCCTAAAACGACCTTAATGGGACCAGATTTTGGTCGATCAATCGTGGATACAGGGAGGTCTTTGAAAACCCTAGTAGCAGGATTCCATAGCAAGATAATCGACGCAATCGGCAAAATACTCAAACAAATCAACCCGTTAACAGTCCCACAGACGCGTAAGGGTTTTGAAATGCTGAGGAACGGGATGTCGAGTCCAATGGGGATCTTGATTGATTTCTCCGATTCCGATAGAAGCAAGCCGACGTTACGATTAGATGTGGCGTCGAACGAGGATTTGTAAGGACTAAAGAGGAAAGACGCATCAAGTCCATCAACATCAGGGTTTGCTTTTTGATTTTGGAAATGTTTGGCTATGAAATTAGGGTTTTGAAAAAGGGCGTACCAAGATTTAGAGACAGATTTGAAACGGAGGATATACCTGACGGGAAGACGAGAGAGGATGTCGATGATTACATCTTTAGGTAGCTCTTTCGACATGGGTATTGCAGGTATATTCTGTAATGGATTTTGGTCGAGCATCGTCTCCATGGAGCTACTTCTTCACTGTCCAATGTGCAGCATTGGTTCCGATGGAATACACGATAACTTTTCTCTGAGTGCTGTAAGATAATCGTTTTAAAAACAGGGGCAAATTTTATCTTTCCGACAATTTTTTATCTATAATTTTAATATTTTTTTTCTATTAGAAATTAAAAGTTTTAACCATAAGATGATGTTTGATTGGTTTGAGTTTGACTCCAAAGATCAAAAGTATCAAGAGGTCTCAGGTTCAAATCCAAAAAGGAATAAAAATCCTCTTATGACCACAAAGATTCAAATGCGGTGACTCCAAGCTATCTATAAAACAGGTGGCCGTTTTAAGATTAGTCGGCTCGCATAACGTATTGAATATTTAGGTTAATAAAAAAAAGTTTTAAAAGAAATGATGTTTAAAATATTTATAAATTTATTGTTTGAATACATTTTTTCCTTAATTAAAATAATAATAATTCAATCTTATCGATTTTTTTATATAAGTTTTATAAAATTTTCTAAACTTTAATTTTTTTTTTTTGGTTATTCTATTTACATCGCTTTCTATTTACTTTTTGGTTATTAAAAAAAAGTGGCAACTGTAACACTTAATACTAAATATTGTTAGTATTTCAACAGCTGTTGTGCAATAGCGATAATATCATTTTCAAAAGAAATGTTATAGACTAAAATTTAAAGTTATCTTCTAAAAAAATTACGCAAATTTGTATGACAACTACTCATTAACATTAAAAGTTTTTAAGAGGAGTTGATAATAATCTTATAACCATATGCTAATTTAAGTTATCTAATTATGCTCGAGAACGGTGTTGCAAAGTACTCTAGAAATGTTTGACTAATGTTAGTAGTTTATTTAATTAAAAATCACAATTTTAACTGAAATCTCATCTAAGGTGACAAAATCACGATTTTAATTTTGTAACAAATGTAATTGAAATCTCATTTGAAGTTATGAAAAAGAAACGTTTTATAATATTTCAAGTGAAAATTAGAGGAATGTGTAAGTTATAGCAAAGATAGTGGAAGTTCAAGGTAATGCATGAAAAACCACGTCACCAAGCTAAGATAATTGGTTTTACCTCATAAAAAAATAAAATTAATATCAAGTGAGGTCGTTAATTCACATATCAGATATTAAATTGATAAAAATGTTACACTTCATAGTAACATTCTATAATATTTGAATTGTAATCCGAGGGGTGTGTCAAACCTTGATAGTAATAACACCAAGACAACAGATAAATAACTACATCATGTTGCCAAATCATCATCTTTGGTTTCACTTTTATATTTGCACTATAATTTTTACCATTTAATTCGTTTTTATTCCAACCATGATATAAATTTCAATGATGGTCATCCAAAATAAGAGAACCTGATGAGACAAATCCCATGATTTGAAAGAAAAACATCCAATCCACTTTTCTTATGAACTTCACTTTGTTTAAATCTTTCAACTTTTCATCAATGTGGGACAACCAAAAAAACTCATCAATAATTCATCATTTGAAAATACTCAATTCTCATGGTGTCACCTCAATACCCCAAGATTTTCTTTTATATGTATAAAGATAAAGATAAAGATTTTTTTAATTTGATTGATTTTGATCTTAACCATGGTTATAGATTTCAAAGAGGGTCATCAAAAGTAAGACAACCCTATAAGACAAACCCTTTGAATCGACACAAAGACACCAATCTATCTTTTTATACACTTCACTTTGTTCAAATCTTTCAACTCTTCACAAATGTGGAACAACTAAAACTCACCCACAATTAACCATTTGAGAATATTCAATTCTCATTATGCCATCTCAATATCTCAAAATTTTATTTTTATAATTCCCATGATGCCACCTCATCACCCCAATGTTTTACCTTTTTATATATAAAGATATAATAATATAATATAATTAATTTTGCACTATAATTTTTACCATTTAGTTTGTTTGGTTTCCAACCATGGTTATAGATTTCAAAGAGGGTCATCCAAAATAAGACAAACTTATGAGGCAAATCTCATTATTTGACACAAAGACATTCAATTCACTTTCTTATCCATTTCATTTCTTTTAAATCTTTCAACTCTTCACTAATACAGGACAACTAAAACTCAAGTACAATCCAACATTTGAAAATACTCAATTCTCATGGTGCCACCTCAATATTCCAAAATTTTCCTTATCTATACTATATTATAAAACATTTAACAAAAAACTCTTAAAAACTATCTTTTATGTACGAAGTACTGTTTATTAATACATATTACTTAAAATTTAAGATTACAAGTAAATTGTGCATAAGTACAACTTATTAAAACTGCATATTTGAATTCGATTATATTATTAAACCTAAATTAAATTACTTCATTACATAAAATTAAATTATGATAAAAAATTTGAATTAAGAAAATTACACCAAAAATAAGAATTTTTAAAAAGGTTAATTTGATACTGATATCGATATGTATATTTTTTTAAATTTTATGATATTGGAACATCCCCCGTCCCCGTAGTCCGGAACGGGCGGTGTCACTAACGGGACTTAATTCAAAAAACACAAACATTACAAAACTACTAATAAACTCTAAACGTAGATTAACTTTTAAAACATACTTTACAACCTAAAGTATTACATTCTAACAACTATTTATAAGCTTAGAATATATACACCTACAAACGAGTTTACCAACTCCAAAAAGTCAAACGCTCGATCTCAAGTCTCGTCTCTTATCAGTATCATTTAGAACCTGCCGTGTCAGAAAACAAGAACACGGCTGAGCACGGGGCTCAGTGAACATATTGTAATATAAACTTGAAATAATAATATGTAACATCGATAATAAAGTGGAAGACTTAAAAATCAATTAAACTGAAGTAATAGAAATCAAGACATTTCACATTCTCATTTCAAAACATCATTTAAACAAAATCCGTTAGTTCTTGTAGTGTTCGTGGGGTGGCCAAACCACACAAACTATCGGGCCGGCATGCGGGCACCTCGTGAATTTAACCACAGTCACATGTGGGTAATATTAGGATCGATCCATCCGCCCTGGAGCCAATAAAATCGGCCTAGTCCACAAGGTGGGTTCACGTAAGCCACTATTGGGCCTAACCCTGTGGACCGAGTTCACATGCATGACGCCATGACTACAAAGCCACCATAACAGACATCCCAAATAATGTGCCCATTAATTGAGTTGTTCTGAAAACCAATAAAACTAAACATGTGCCACTACCCGGATGACGTTCATAAAAAGTCAAGCTTCAAAGTACTTCATAAAACTCGAAACTACTTCAAAATATGAGAATCAATTTAACAAACTTGAAAGATTCAAACATACACTTCAACAGACTAAACTCAAGTGTTCACGATAAAGATTCAAGAGTTTACGATGGAGATTCAAGAGTTTATATATATATATATATATATATATATATATATACACGTAATTTATTGACCACTTTTAAGTGATCAATCACAAAGTGGTGAACCATCGTTACGAAGGGTCAACTACAACAACTAGTTGCCCAAGAATCAAAGAAAATGAAATACGTACCTTAGGCGGAATAGAGAAGTAAAACACGATCAAACGAGATTCACGGTAAAGTTCGACTTGTTCACGTGCCTAACGAATGCGCAAATCGTTTATTACTTAAACGACGTAAAATCATATCCTAATTATACTAATAAAATACTTAGGTCCTACATGTTTATAAATAACATAAACTTCAAACGGGACAGCCGGATATGCATTAACAAATCGACTCAACACTTGGCTTTATATAATTCCGTTTCGACTTTAACAACTTTTGACCCTCATTTTCGAGAGCATTTTTACCCCACTTAGAGGTAAACACAGAAAATACTATCTAAATAAAAGTTGTAGTATGATATGCGATGAAACTACCGGTTTTAGAATCACCTCATTTGGATTATCCATCTATTTTATACGAATTTTATAAAACAATAGATTAATCCTAAATACAGTGCAAACAACCCCGAAAATACACTGTTTCGAGCCACTTGGAATCATAACTGGATTTTCGACCCTACATGAAAGTTGTAGTATACACTAAGGGATTCACTACAAAAATGCAGAGTATCAGCGAGGGAAAAATCCCTCGCAAACCCCTCGCTGAAAGGGCAATCCGTCGATGATACTCCGTCGGTCAAATAGTCATAGGTAATACTATCAGCGACGGATTTGCGAGAGACACTTTCAGCGACGGATCAGCGAGGGATAGTTTCAGCGACGGATCAGCGACGGATCTGCGAGGGAACCTTCAGCGACGGATCTGCGACGGAACCTTCAGCGACGGATCTGCGACGGGATTTTAGAGGGCTTTCAGCGACGGATTTTCCCTCGCTAATCCGTCGCTAATTTGTATAAATTTAAAAAATAAATTTTTTGAAATTGGATAATTCCTGTATTTATTTATAAAAATAACCTGAAAATATTTAACAAACAAAAACTATAAACAAATTTTAATAACCAATTCATACGATTTAAAATATGGATTCATAAAATTTAAAATATTCAAGTCATACAATTTAATATTCGAATACATATAATCTAACCATCGGGAGGTGGAGGAGTTGGGAAAACGTATCCTGACTACCGCATAAACGTAGCAAAATGCTCCGATAATGCGGCCTGTTGGGCTAATGCAGCAGCTTGTCTGACCTGTTCGGCCTCCAAATCTGCCCTCTTCCTCCGTTCGTCCTMCATTTCGGCCAGATGACGTTCCTCCCGTAACTGTGCCTCCTCCTCTACCCTTGCCAACTTATCTCTCAACTCCGCTACCTGTAAATATTAAATATTCGACAAAATCAGTAATTTCTTCCCAAGTTTAGCAATGAGAAAGTTTATAACAATATAACCAACATACCTCCGCTCTTGACTCGTATGATGACCCGCTACTGCTACATTTACCCGTCATAGCATAAGAGGGATCCTGGGTGGTCCCGAAACCAAATATTCGGCATTTCCTCCATCCTCCGACACTTCGTTCCCAAAGAGATGCCTCATCAGGGAGA